CAGGCTCGTTTTTCTTACTTTAGATTATATTGTTCAAGCTTGTTTACTCAGATTTAACACCTATCTGTTTATTTATGTGAAATGAAATCCCTGGTGTCCTTTTTCTTCCTTAAAATGGAGACTAAATACCGCCAAATGCCCCTTTTCTAAGATATACAACTATTTAAAAAAATGTCGCGATGTTAGGTTGTGCTTTTAACGAGAAAAAAAAAAAGGCACGCGTGGCTGTAACTTTGTTTTTTCCGTGACGGTTAGGGTAGATAGATTGTGTTTGCGCCATAAAATTCGATCTTTAGTGCCCAACGTCCAACAGCAACTGTTTTTTTTCACCAGTACCTTTTTACATCTTAGCTTTTGTTCCGTACAAGATGCATATTCTGCACGAGGCGCATACTCTGCACATATATTAATCTCATTCGCAGCACCACTTTGTAAAATTCCTACAAATCAAATCGCCATTCGATTCGATATTCGGCTTTTTTTTTATTCGATTCGGTATTCGATTCGAAAACTTCTATTCGGTACTCGCACCACCCCTAGTATATTATCTCTAGCCATCATAATAATATGGCGGACAGCGCTGTCGTGGCAGGCTGCCATAAAAGTAGCCGTGGGTCTAATACACTGTTTCGTGGGTGATATTTCGTGCTTGATTGAAGTTTTTCGACGAAGCAGATTCTTGAAACCCGGCATGAACGGTAGCCGCCCATCTTTGAAGACCCGGCGAAAGTTTTACGAAAGGGCTGCACCGGGGAAAGCAGCGCAGCTCGCATCGAGAGCAGACGCCGCACCTTGGAATGGGCCCCTCCGCGGTTCGACATTGTTGACAGGTGGTGGTGTGATTTCGTTGGTGGTGAGGTCTTGTGCTCCCGAACGCTTGGATATGGACCAAGACACGCCGTGGATGTGCTCGCGATCATTTGGAGAATCCTCGCGAGTGTATAATATTCCCCGGGGTCTCTCCACAAACTTGTGTGCCGATGTGCCCGTGAGTGATTCATATATATTTTTGTCCCCTATATTCGCCTGCGACGTTTTACATAAAATGCATTTAAACGAAGCGAATTGATGTCTTTTCTCGATCATACTGGTCAAAGCCAGAGGCCCAGAACGCCCTCAGCTCGATCGTTCGACCGATCGCGACCGATCGAGACGGATCGACCGAAAGCGCAAGAGTGCTATAAGACATAGGAGCCAGAGATCCGCAAAAGCGTGTGTGCGCCCCGCCATCGCCAAAATCCGCTTTCGACGCGAGCTGCGCTGCTTTTCCCCGGTGCTGGGATTTCATTAAACTTTCGACTGGTCCTTAAAGATCGGGCTACCGTTCACGCCGGGTTTCGACAATATGTTTCGTCGAACAATATCAATCAAGCACGATATATCACCCACGGATATTTTTATGGCAGCCTGCCACCATAACTGCCGCAACGCTGTCGGCCATGAATGGATGATAGTGGCTGCACCAGGTATACCCTACTAACGGGTGGTAGACTGCGCCACCATAATACTATGATGTGGCGAGGGGTAATATAACTCTACCAAAAAGATGGCCGCCAGTGGCCGCATTCGCGGAGCGGGGAAACGCGACCCAGCAAATAGACATAGAGATGAGTGGTCTTTGCACACTGCTTCGTACCCATATATTTATCGAGAGCATCTACATGTATACCTTTTGCCCGTTACTCATATATACCGGGCGTTGCAGCGAAGATTCACCAAATTGCCTAATATTAGTGTATTCGAGGTAAAAATACCGTTTTCTCGGGACCCCATTACTGGTAATGGCTGACGTCAGAAAATGCGTGATGCTTACTAATTAGTTCGCTAATTAATTAAAACATCTACATATCTTTAAGTAGTGAAAATGGACATATGGTTCCAATTAGAAACTTGCTGAGCGTCATCGAAAACCACTAACTGAGCAATTTTCAGAAAGCGTTTGAGCGCGTGAGCGTGTGAGAAGTGTAGTAGTGCTCTAAAGTTACCATTCGTGGAGCAGGTACAAGGCTGGGGCTCTGCTAAGAGACGGAAAAATCCCGCGGGCGCCTTATCGCAACCGCTAACTTTGTACCTGCTCCGCGAGTGGTAACTTTAGCGCACGAAGTACTACGTTTCTCACGCGCTCAACGTCTGTCTGAAAATTACTGAGTTAATGGTTTCCGATGACGCCCAGCAAGATTCTAACTGGAACCATAAGTCTATTTTTCTTAATTCAAGACTACATTAGTCATTTTTATTTATTTAACGAAAAAATTAGCAAGTATCGCCGGTTTTCACTTCGAATACACCAATTTTAGAAATTTTTGTCGCTCTTCGCTGAAAAATTTGGTATACATATATAGGTGAAGTAGGGTAAATATATTATAATGGACCGGGAAAAGTTAATAAGTCGAAGATTTGTGCTGTCGGAGTGACTAATACGAAGTAGTTTTACGATGTTTCAAGCGGGGACCGCTTTTTATCAGGTCACCGCTCAAAGCGCCCTAAAAAACTTCGTATTAGTAACTCCGACAGTACGAATCTGTGACATATATATATATATATATATATATATATATATATATATATATATATATATATATATATATATATATATATATATATATATATATGTAGAGTGTTTCACAAAAGGTGGACAAATTCGATATTGCAAATATTACGTGTCGCAACAAAAAAAGGCTTGTGTCGTTTTGTCCAGGGGCCTATTTAGGAAAATTAATAAAGTCCGGGATAATTAGATTGTTAATTATTTTTGCGTAATTGACTTTTTCATATTGTGTTTAAGGGCATGGCTTGAATTACAAAATTGCTCAGCATCATCAAAAAACACTAAATCAACAAATTACAGAACGATAGAAGGCACGCGAAGTTATTTACAGCTTTCTGAAAAACCGCAAAAATTCGACAGGTTTTTCCCAATGGGGGGCCCCCTCTAGTCTGGGAAGCCCTGGTCCGCGCTGGCTTTCCGGGCTCTCTCCACCAGGCTACGCTGGGCTGAGAGGTCGGAACTGGTCAGCTGGTCCACCCATTGCTCGTAGGTTGCGTGAGGGTTGGGGGCAAGGGATGGGGTTTTCTGACACTCCCAGACCATGTGGTACAGGGTGCCAGGCTGGGAGCAAAAGTTGCAGGCAGCAGGATATAGGGTGGGGTACATGGCGTGCAGTAGAGTGCCGTGGGAATACGAGTTAGTTTGTAGCCGACGAAAAGCGGTGGCTTCGGCTCTGGATAGGGGGATGAATATCTTGTGCTTTTAAATGTCTCGGGTTCCTATTGTATTGCCAATACTGTTTTGAGCATTCTATCCATCTTCATTTCAGCATCCGATGGCCTTAATTGTACCCATTAAGTGGCCGTAAACAGTTCCCTCTAGTTTTTAAACCTAAAACTAACGTTCACTGACCAGACATCTGCTGGTCATACCATCCCAGGACTAAAAGTGGTCTGTTGCCCTGGGACAGTGCCCACTGAAAGCTTGTTAAGAGAGTCATCATTATGTCTAGCTGTACCCCAGCCTTAGAAATACCAGTGTACATAAAATGGCGGCCAGTTTCCGCGGCCAGTGCGAGCGCCTTGCTGCTGCAGGGTACTCACAACACATAGTTTCTGCTGTGTGTGAGCTCCTTCTACGGGAGCTAGAAACCGATTCCAAAGAGCAGCGGCGCAAAGAAAAATTGCTTGTACAAGCCATTTTGTATCATCATGGCCTGCCCCAAAAATAAAAAAAGTGGCGGCCAGATACAGTGTCTAGCTCGCCTTTTCGGGCGTTTTGTACACTCAATAAAGTGTGCCCTGTGAAGAAGCCAAAAGCGAGCACACCAGAATGCAAAAAGGGGCACAGCAATCGATACACGGAGTGCGCTTCAGGTGATATTTATGAAGTACCGCTTTCTTGCGGGAGAATGTATTTTTTGCGAGACTGGGCGATGTTTCAACCTGAGGAAACGAAAACACTTTCTGTCCATAAAAAAAAAAAAAAAATTAGGCGGCCATCTGCCACTGCATTGTAATAGGTGCGGTAGCTACCCTGATTTGCCAAAGACACCCGTTCTCGCAAAAGCAAAAAAAGTTGGCGAAAGAAAACCCGTTAATGAATTCATTAAAAAGAAAGGTCACGATTGCATGAGCATGCCATCAGTTTCATTATCAAAAAAGAAATAACTTTTTGGATCGTCATGCTTAATGTCTCCATTTATCATCGCGAGCTGATTACTGCTGCTTATGTATTTTTCTATACATGAACCAACTAGCCCGCCAAAAATATGTTACTTCTAGCTCCCACTGGTGCTAGGCCAAGGCGCGCAACGTACGTTCGCCAAATCTGACTCGAATAAAAATGTATTTTTGCATTAAAGGTTATCACGTCGCTACGGCAAGGGGATGGTCGGTGGCCAGCAATAAAGAAACAAAAATAGTTCACCGGGTGGGATAGCGCACAGCAGCTTGGAACACCTGGAGCGAAAGCTCGTGATGCCGAAAAGAACCAAGGTATCTAGGGTTCAATCCCCGTCCCTCTCCGTTTTAATCTAGATGAGCATCGTACCGGCGTGTGATAGTGTATCGCTACTGCTCGCGTTAAAATCCTAAAGGCAAGCACTCGTGCTGCGGTGGATGGGTTTCTCATCTACAACTGAAACACCAGACGCCCAATGGATCTGACTAACCTATGACTGTCTATACACACATAAAAATGATTACAATTTTCGCTGATCATACAAAATATAATGTGGCACAACGTACCCGGCTAGCATCGAAAAGTACCCGATAAATGTTTAAGTAATTAGAGACTGCAACGCTGCTCTGTCAGGGCCTCCTATAGGGTAAAAGCCTGCGCCTTCGAGACCAGAACCGCCGCCATAACTGGCAGAAACAGAACTACAATACATAGTAGAAAAAGGATATAAGACTGATGGCGCCCTCAGAGACACGTAAGCACTTTCCAGAACTTTCCCATCTGTTTTTTATTGTTTTAGAGCGCAGCTCTTAGGCGCCTCGTTCCGGCTTGAGCGGCGTCGCCGTCGGCGTGACGGTAAGGTCACGTGCCCCCAGGTCACGTGACCCCCCCCCAGGTCACGTGACCCCTCAGTACCGTTCCTTTCAGTACCCTGCCGTCAGTACCCTTCCCTCCTCCTGCTCAAGAGCTGCGCTCCAAATCGGCGTTACAGGGAGCTGTAAACGGCTTTTATTCTATTTATTTTTTCTGAACGTACGCTTTTTTCCCCAATTGATCTAAACTCACGACTAATCCTATTTTCCCATTCCCTCAGCGCATCATCTTATCCTCTGTAAAAAAAGGGTAAGCAGCCGGTTGCAGTTTCTATTTTTTTTTCCTTCCCCGCAAAATACAAAACAAAGAGCGGAGTAGCTTGCCCAGCGACACCAGTGTGATGCGGCAATCCAGATGCTTGCGTTCATGGATTACCGCTACTCATCTCTTTTTTAGCGTTACCCGACTGTTTATTGTTCTGGCTCCAAAAGCGCAGGGCCCCCACTCCCAATACAAGAGGCTCTATGGCTCTACGAACCGCAATGCGGGGAGTCCGAATCAATTTCCAAATAGTGCACTCCGCGTAGATCACTGCTTGCGTGATGGCCCATTCTTCCGCCGGAAGATTCCCAACGCCTACATCTCATCTTGAACCAGGAAATGTATGCGCCAGTACGACACCATCGAGATGGATACAGGCATCTAGTGATGGAGTTGAGGTAGTAGATCTTGGCCCTCTTGTGAGAGCAACCTAAAAGAAAAAAGAATAGAAAAATAACTGAAGCTTTTTTTTTTATTGCAACACTCTTCAAACTTCAACAACATCTTCAAAACTAAAACCTTTTTTTTGTCGTTTTTTTTTTTGGCCGGCGTGAACGAGCGACTTATCGCACGAATGAGAGAATAGAAATAGAGAATGCGAAAGTTTGAAACCATTACGTTAATGAGATCAAAGGGGCCCAAAATATTTTTATGAGCCAGTTTTCACCTAAGCCTAATATCGTTAAAACAAAAACTTTATGCACGCACGTGGCATTTATATCAGTGTGAAGAAATTACGGCAAAATACCAGGCTATTGTGTTGAATACGTGAAACGTTATTCCACCACAAACGTGTAGCGATACTCTGTGTTTTCAGACGCCAGACGCTGACGGCGCTCTTCTCTTTTTGTTTTAACAATATTAGGCCTAGGTGGACGTCGGCCCAGATAAAAATAGCACATATTTTTCATCCAGGTAACAAAAGTTCTTGAACTTTCGCATCCAATTCCTAGAGCTAGCGTCGCATCCTCAGGGAATTTCAGATTCCCGCTATGCGTAGTTTATTCACGCTTGCCGATGAACACGCTTCTCTTGGCTAAAAAACACCCGGTATTTAAAAAGTGCGAAAGCCGTTGATTGTACATTAATGAACATAAGATGTACCGTATCTGCTGGATTGTAATTCGCGGACAATACATGTAGAAAAGTTGAATTTTACGGGGTTGCGGATGACCTACAGGTGCTGACTATACAAGGATTTGTTCTTTAGAGCGCAGCTCTTCGGCGCCCGTTTCCGCATACAGTGGCCTCGGCGCCGCCCTCAGTGTAACCGCTATATACGGGAACGGTCGCTTAAGCTTTCCATGATGCAACACAGCGTGCGTTCCATGATGGGACGACACACACTTATACATCAATTCACCTACCCCGCTAAATTTATTGGAGAAACTGAATTGGTGGGTACGTCTGTGACGTCCCCTAAAGCAATAGTGCGCGTGCTGCATTATGGGTACCCTATGTACCCTGCTAGTCCTGTCTGGCCTACCTCCAAAGAAAAACGAAACACGACCAAAATTTTAAACACAATATATGTATCTCAGATTCTTTATCACGGTGCATAGCAAATTCAAAACACCTCAAAAGCTGCGCCCTAATTTCGCCTTACAGAGAAGCATGAACGTCTGTAAGTTTTACATGTCAATCAATCTGATCAGACATAAAAAAATAATTGTGAATTACAGAGTGCGTTAATAAAAATATTTGGATAATCCAAGCTTTTTTCAGGCCGCACTGGTTATACCACGTGGAAAACAGGATGTTTGGCGACTTGCTCATTGCGCGAAGTAGTCCTTGCAGAATTTGGTTGTCGAAGGAAGAAAATGCTTTTGGCGTTTGAATTGTGTGCGCGTTCATGAAATAACATAAAGTTAATTTATGTTGTATCTATGTATACCTTAATTAAACATATGAAGGTGGAAAATAGTTACCCTCTGTGAAGAGCCGGTTTTGACTACGGTTCCTGAAGTGTACACAAGTATTCACGTTTGCAAGTACAAACTCTGGGCGCCGCCATCTTGCTGCTGGGGTACCGACCTTAGCAAGGCGTCGTAATCGAATTTGGCGGCGCCCAAGCGCACCCCACGGGAGCAAGATGGCGGCTTCCGGAGCTCGTACTTGGAACCCTGTACAGAGAAGCGGGCAGTTGTCGAGGTGTGCTAATTATAGACTATCACCTCGCAGAACCACGTCGCTGAAATTGATGTCACGAGACTCGATGTAACACGACGTTGTCACGTTGTCAATTTGCCTTCTAAATTTAGTAGGCCTCTTGACATCACCTGACACGAGGTCGCATGACGTAGTGACTCGGAGTCAATTTCACGACTACATTCAGCGAGGAAATGGACGCAACAGCTCCTCGAGACGGCTATTCTAGCCAAATACGGCTGATAAAACACTTTCTGCGATAAAACCTTGCGGAAGAAATGGCTTTTATCTGACGCTGTTCGTTGCGCTTCACATGTGCACTTTGCTTTCAGCCTTAAATCAAAGACTAGTGTTGGTTGAAAACGTTTTCCGTGTTTCTCGGCCTACGGATGCTGCCAGCTTCCTGCGCGAATTGCACTGGTCATTTATAAAGTGTGAGGCGAAGCCTCGCACGTTTGGAGGTTAGTGTTACTGTTGATATTACCTTTCGTTTCAAGTTAACTTCGACCGGATTCAACGCTATGATCAGATAGAGCCAATATATCAGCGCCAAAAGTTCGTTGTCACAACACTCGCCTTTTTTGTCCGGCTGCTTTCGATATTAAGCCAATTACTTACAAAAAGAACAAAGCGCGGGATCAAGCCGCATTCACTGTGCGCGATTGTAATAGCCGCTCATAGCCAACCTATATAGACAATGAGCGCCATGACAATGCACTTTTTGGGCTGCCTGGTTGACTCGGTCCGATCGTGGCTTTCACTTCGATCGGAGTTAACGTGAAACGAAGCGGAAAGATGTTGAGAATCCGCCGAAATTAAGGTATAGCCTGGTTAGACTTTTTTCTCTAACTTCTATGGCGAGGTTGAACAAATTTTGACTCAAGCCTAATTGTTATCCGCGCGCGCAAAAATTTCTAACAAACTGCATGACGCCAAAAGGCGAACTCAGATATATATTTTACTGGTTCACGTCAATAAACGAACTAAAGAATTACGAGTGTATTTGTTGATCTTTATAATGCATAGACATTGGCAATAATTTTATTAAATATAAAATAAACTACATCACAGTTTTCCTAAAAACTCTGATTTTTTTTTGTGTAAAATGTCGGACAACACTCTTCGTAAGTTAAACCTCGGCTAGTTTTTGCTGGGTGGCGCAAGTGACCGCCGCTATAAAGGCTAGAGTCGTTATCATCCATCCATTCCTTCGTATACAGTCTCCGTTTGATAAATGCGGGAATGTTCGCCGAACTAAATTGAACCCAGGGTTCGAAAAAAGTTCTTGACATTCGACAATTTCCACGTACCAAAGATATAGCATCCCGATTGGCGACCTCCTCCATCTGGATAGAAGTCGACATGGCCGATAGTTTCGCGCATTCCAAGTTTGACAACGCCGTTGCTGGTGTGAATGATGTCCACGAAGTCGGCATCGTCCGTGTCCAAATGCTCGCCTTCAAAATCTTTGCTGGCTGGATCTAGGCCTGGACAAAATTTTCACGGAGATTACAAGTGTATGCGTCGCACTAAATCTAGTTTGTCTAAATCACAAAGTCCTTCCAACTGCTCGATCATAATCACGTGGTATGCGAGCCGCGTTTGCCATACGAACTGCAAGGAAGTGGGGAAAGCGTTGATTGGCTGCAAACGTCTTCACCCTTTTGCTTGCTTACCTTCTCGCAACGCAAAACGAAGCGAAAGCACACTTCCGACTAATTTCCATGAGAGAGGTCCGTCATTGAATTGCAAACGCTCGTCATAGTCTGACATCATCCCTCACTACAATCCAGACTCTCACTAAATCAAGCTAAACTAGCTCCATCTAGTGCACTGGCGTGCGGCTAGAAAAATTCCGACTGTTATGGTGTTTCATTCCGGTACATCTCCAGAACCAGCGGAGACCATCAACAACAGCACTGTTCAGTGCTGTCGGTTTATGCGCAGCAGAAAAGTTAAACGAATTGCGTCCAAACCTAAAATAAAGAGATCCGAAGGGTCCGGGGCGGACATTATTGAATGGAGACAATAATTTAGGAAATATCCTCGAGATACAATATGTTTACTAAATTCAGAATCTCTTTATTTATCAAGTTCGTTAGGTATCCATAAGCGCAGGGATATGCAGTATTTCAAATACAAGTATTTGAAATACGTATTTCAAATACTTTGTGTATTTTGCATTTCTATTTAATTACAAATTGGGTAATGTATTTGACGTCTGCATTTAAATACTAAAACGTGCGAATTTCAAATACAATTGCAATTAAGTACAATTTTGTGGGCTAAATTACATCCCTCAAATTTATTGTCATGACTCAATTCCTAAGACGTGTCCAGAGCAGGAAGAAAACAACGTTCTGCACCGAATGCAGTGTCTCTCAATCAAGCAAAAGCGTTTAGTGACTTAGTCATTACAGAGCTAGTCCAGGGCAAGAATAGTGACGAAATCGACGTTCACAGGCAAACTGGCTAAATAAGTGCCTGTGACAACTTGTGATGCTTTCCAGCCTGATTTCTATCCATACTTTTGCCTGGAACATTCTAAATGCGCGGGTCGTCCAGATTTTCGTAACTGGTGCGAGTTGCGACAATAAAAAATTCTCCAGTTAGTGCTCCGCGTCTTGGTCGTCTCGGTTCTTTGTTGGTCTATACCAAAATGTAATCGAAAAAAAAAGCTTCTTGAAGCTCTGTACTTTTTTCACCTATTACGTCCAAGCTGATTCCATTTTTTGTGATTATATTTCTATTACGTTACTAGAGCGTCGCATACCAACTCCAGAGTTTGCGATGCAAAATTAAAATGAGATACCCAGAAACCCGTTGCAGGTGCCCTGAAGTCGCTGACGGAAATTTTGAGGCATGCATTTGGAAAAGTATTTGGAAGAGACCAAATACATTTGGTTGTATTTGTATCTTGTACTTAAAGGCTTTTTTGGAAATGTCATAAGATTTGTGATTACATACATTTTTGACGAAGTATTTTGTATTTGTATTTCGATACATATTTGCATGTATTTTGCCCATCGCTGCATAAGCAGCCCATATTCGAACGCAGGAGTGTACCTATTTCAAAATTATGTACATGAGATGATGCTTTGCGAGAATATATGCAGAGACAAAAATATATTACTCCACAAACAAAAATAAAATTAGGACACCTCACATTAAAAGCTCACTAGCTTGTCAAAATACCAATGCTGTCCAGGACAATTGAAGCGCTACCTTAAAAAATACCTGAAACTGAAAACCCGTCAAGTGTTGCCTCATACTAAACAGCTTTCGAGAGAACATCAACTTGAGTCATATCAACAACGTTTTACGTGTTAAAATTATACTTCTTTATGAGTGATGGGTTGCAAAATGATTAAAATAATACTCGGCAAAACGAAAGCAATGCATGTCAGTAAAAAGACTCGATGGAGGCCTGCTATTTATCAGCCACTTAACAGTCAAGGAGGCGAATGTAGCATCGACGATACAATCGAAAAAAGCGGCCACATCTCCACGTGGTGAATGATGTTGATTGGGGCAAGCTCTGGTGGCGCCGATGATACTGATTTTACAGTTCATATGTAGTGGTGATGGTGCAGATTTTTTTTTTATTGCTCATAGGTAGTGCTGAGTTCCGGGTTGCCGTTTCGACTTTATTATTACTGCTTTATTGTCGGTGAAGTGCAGAGCCAGTGGTTCTTCTAGCGGATCAGCTCGGATCCGCTAGAAGCCATGGGTACGCATCCCCACCGCTTAAGTCAACGGTCCATGTCAGAAAGAGAATGTGTGTTATGGATCGTGGTTATTAGCCCCGAGAAGTTCGCGTGGCGCCCCCTTACGGCGAACCGGGGTGACGTCACAGCGAGGAGAGAACTTTTCCCCGGCTCGCCCCGCTCGCCCTGTGGAGGCTGTGACGACGCCAGCTGTCGGCGCGCTCGTTTCTATTTAATTCTTTTTGGCGTGTTTTTCGTAGGAAGTGTAAATTTTTTTTATGTGCCTTTATTGAGGTATGGCCTGTAGCTACATGCGAAACTTCAACCAACATTTTAAGCATGGTTGACAGGGCACGCAACGCATGAATCGCAGCTGGCATATGAAAATAAAGAAATATGACCAGAATTGCAGGAGCATCACTATAGATTTACATCTCACAAAATAAATACTGCTTATGGTCTGAATGAATTGGCAGGTTATGTATACTATTTTTTGTTTTGTATCTTCGTTTTTAAACAAGATCGCCGAAGCAGAAAAGCTGCATGCTGCTGGGGCAACATGCTAAATACAGTCTGGGCCATGGGGAGAGAATCACAAGTAAGACAGCTCAAGTGCAGGGGCAAAGTAAAAAAAACAAAAACAAGGAACATTATATTATACACATTGCTCGCATTTGACCCTTGCTGGATTCGGATAGTATTTCAATGGACTACACGGGTGATATCTGTAGACTTGTTTATATTAAACCTCAAGTAATGTATAACAAACGTAAGCGAAGGTGTCTAGCTCGTTATTAGTCCGTTAAGCCCTAAAATTGAGATTTTGCTTAAATTGAATTGTCGTGAATCTAAAATTTTCTCACGTAGACTGTCGCCCTTCACAGGTTCCACATTTTGTGCTACTAGTGCTGCAACTACCACTGGACAGACGTTGGAATGCTTGCTTTTACTCCTGTTTTCCTCTGCTGTAAGAGAGTCCAGCTGTAGGGAGTTTGGAGGCTGAGGAAGCTTTCGGGGACCTGCAGCAGTGTCTCTTTTAATTGGAAATGACAATTCAGACTAAACGGTGCTTTTTTCGAATACCCAAGGCTGGAATAAAAATGTTAGGAAAAACTATAAACATTCCGAATTACGGCACTATTGCTGTGCATATTTTGGGCAGTTCAATACATGTCATACAGGCAACTGGGGGCCATTCGGCCGTTTTTAGCTGCTACCATACAAACTAATTTCCAGTAATTGTGCATAATTAATATGCCTGCGTACGTGTATAAACTATATACTGTAAACGACCACATTTTCGCGACGGCCTAATTTTCGCAATTTTCCTGAATCAACTACAAACGCGAGAAATACATCCCGCGAAGAATTCGGCAAATATGTGAAGGCTGCGGAAGCTACGCTCGATTCGCGAAAATTAGAACCCGCGAATAATTTCAGATTTTTAGCTTTGGCCCGATTCGCGAAAATCTTAGCCCGCGAAAATGAATTCGTTTACAGTAATTAATTTACGAAGAAGCTACATTTATGTAAAACAACCCTGTTTCATGAGCACTTCAAAGATAATCAGACACAGGGCCTTTAAAACATCTGCGAACCAGCACATGCAGAGTGGCAGCGCAAAGGCGGAGTCCCGAGCGAATTTGCCGACCACCCAAAGGCCCATGATGTAAATGCCACTTCAAATGCCTTAAAGCGGGATGTAATATCGTCCTAAATTATGAACATGCAAGGAACAGAAATCCAGCGTCTGAAACACTTGCGCCATCGCTTCACCGATCCCTCGCAAAATTGCCTTGTGTCGTGTGGACGGGCGGGGAGGTTCATCGGCGGAATTGCTTCCGCCGATGGCTTTCGGGATTTGTAACCCTATTTTAAAGGTAAAGGGGACAAGCAGGCTTATAAAATGTACGGAAGCACTTCAATATCGGTCTAACTCAACGTCTTGTACGCCGGGTAAACGAAGTCCAGCTCCTCGAAGAGCTTGCGGCACACAACGCCAAACCAGGAAACCGGTGCTGGGAAGCGAGCCGATGCGAGATCGCGGAGCGGAGTCCCCTCCGTGACGTCACGGTTCGCCTCACCCAATCAGGGCGGGGCGACCGCAGCGACGCTTGTGTTCGCTCTCGGGGCTAATATACTCAGCTGAGCATTTGACCGCAGCGCCCTCTCGTTTATAAACGTTGAGCCAATGCATGCAAAGTTCAACGCGATTATTTACGCATTTAACCGCAGCGCTTTTCCTGTATAGACGTTGAGCGTCTACATGCTACTTTGGAGTGTAACGTAGTGGTTAAGACGTCTGCCTCATAAGCAAGAGGTCCTCAGTTCAAACCCCCGTGCGGGCGTACGCTTTTTTTTTTTAAAGAGTGGGCCGATTTCGGGGGCACTGCAATCGATGCAAGCACGGACGCCGGACGAATCGACAAGGCTAGACCCTAAGGAGCTTCGCCCCTAAAAGCAGTTTTCCAATATTCATAACTACACGAAAATAGCAGGTTACTTTAAACGGACACTGACATTCCCCAATTTTTATTTATATTTTTGACAGGCGATTAATTATGGCGTCAAAAGACTACCCGATCCATATTTCGCTACAGCGTCACGTGCATTTTGAATAAAGTCAAAAGACGCAAACTGCTCGAAACTGAAACAGGACTGGGGAGGAATAAGAAATATAGTGGAGGAGAGATTTGGCGGAAGTCACGTGGTTGCGAAAAATATTTGTTGTCCAATCAACGGACTTTTACTTTGCAGAAGCCACAAAAAATTAGCATCTT